GAGAGAGAGAGAGAGAGCACGGGTGGGAAAGAGTAGCGAGAGGGATGAGGGACAGAGAAAGAGAGAGAAAGAGAGAGCGAGCCCGCGGTATAAATATAGCCCGCGCGAGTACCACCAATCATTCGCCCTCTGACCTCGAAAGTCTCAGAGCTCTTTCTGGTCTCATTTGACTGTTTCGCGGTACCGAAACGTACCCCCTGCTACCAACCACCATCGCCGAGCGTTATCCCCGCTCCACGGTCCACCGATCGTCCAGCAATACTCCGTCACTCGTGACGAGATCCGCGCCTCGTTAAGAAGAGGAAGAGAAGGCTAAGGCCCCCGAGGACAGACAAGACCAGTGATATCGTGGTTACACAGAATCGACGAAGATACCTTTATCAGCAAAATGACGATTGTGAGTATCATTTACAAGTTAATTAAAGTCGTCAATTAATACCGTTTCGCAACTGAAACGCGTCTTTTTTTTTCACGCTGTTTCTTCCCATCGTTCGTTTCTTTTTGTTCTTCTTCTTTTAACACGTTTCGTTTTTTTCATACGAGCGAAGATAACAGAATAATGTAAATATTGGCCAAGTGTTTAATTTGCAATGAGTTTAATTTGCATAATGAAATGGAAAAAAATTCGTTTTTGAATTCTGTCATTGCGACAAGAGAGACTGATTTCTGTAAAATAGAGAAGAAAAGGAAGAAATGTCTTGAAGGCGAAGTAAGAGAAATTCCGGCGCGATGCTTTCCTTGTGCTCATGGTTTTCTTTGAGAATTCGGATAATTTCCTTTTAAATTTAACATTAAATTTCTGTGAACAATCGAATCTTCAATATCGAATTGTATTGGTGGCAGAAATCGTAGAGAGCTTCGCGGAGAGAAGGTCCGCGGAGCGGCTAGTTTATTGAGAGATTAGTCGATCGCATTGCGGACCGGACGCGGGATATATACGATCCTCGAGATGCGCTCTTTTAGATTTTCGTTTTACATTCACGGCGAGAAAGCGATTGAAACCGGAAAAGTGCATCTCGTTCCGCTGATGCACTTGTAACGTGCGCCCGCGAAACTCACGAATTGCCATCTCTCTCGCCGACCGATCGAGTAGATCGATGGCATTCCGCGAGAGTAGGATTGTTAACTAGATAATTTTCTACGTAAAAGTACACGCACGCGAGCTTTCGAGAAGCCGAAGTAAATTTACTCTGATTACGCGCGGGGCTATCGTATCTCATCCATTTGTTCCATTCATTCACGTTGCACTCGCGACGAGACGAGCGGGAGACGTGGGTTGAAATATTTCTGTATCATTTATCTTTTGACACTTGACAAATGGAAACTGACTTTCACAAAAAAAAAAAAAAAAATGTATCGCGCATCGTGCTTTCAGAACAAAGTGAATCTGTCTTTCGCCCCGCTGGGACGTTTCTTTACGTTTCCGATCGAAAGGGGATCACACATTAAAACGGTTCTGTCATGGAGCTCGCGACACTTTTGTGAATTGAATCACGTCAAAGGGGAAAATCTGACGTAAAATGGATGTTGATTGGGCAAGACTTCTGACAATGTGTGTCATCGCGTTCGCAGCAACAGTTTGTCGAATAGACTACGGGACTTGACATATCATCGTCGGCTATAGCAATATGTCCTATGGTACGCGAAATGTCACGTTTCGCAAACCTGCTAAACACAATTGAAAATGATGAATCAACGATTTCCAATCAAGAAATATAGTATGTAACATCCAAAAAAACAATTCTTCAAAAAATATTCTCTATATAAAATAACAAATAACATACCCCTGTGTGTGGGTGTGTTCGTGCAATTACAGTTGAAATTCTAAATTCGTGAAACAAATTATCCTAAAAATCCACATTGTATATTAATTATTAATTATTAAATTCATTAACATTAAGTTCATTTATTTGAAATATTAATATTATTAAAGTATAGTTGTTTGTTAATTATATATTATTAATCACATGTTTATAATGCTGTCGGGAGATAACTTTACATTTCTCGAGTACTTTGATTGCACGTGAAGATCAACGTTTGTCGTCAAAATCTCTTTGTCCTTTATGTTTCTTGGTCACGTATCAAAACTGCGAGGTAGTTTCGCAAGTTGGATATCGTGTGTATATTTCTGACCGGAACTAACGAACCGCATACGCGTATCAAAGGGCAAATGTAACCGTTGCGGATGCTGGAGACATTACGTCTGGTCCGAGTAGTCGCCAGAGAATGCATAAAGTTTCTTTACTCGTTGCCAGTTAAGTGTATATATATATATACGTGTATCGCCAGCGACCGTGAACGAAAACGGCATTTCGTGATTTTACGACAAGCGTTTTCGTTAAATTCCCGACGATACGGCCTCGTCGGCTGTTTCTCCTAGGATAATAATTTAGCGGACGTTCTTTCTCCGCATTAATCCTTTAATTGTGGAATATGTATTATTGTCTATGTATTGTCATTATGTGTGTGTGTGTGTGTGTGTGTGTGTGTGTGTGTGTGTGTGTGTGTGCGCGCGCGCGCGCGCGTGTGTGTGTGTGTGTGTGTGTGTGTGTGTGTGTGTGTGCGTGCGTGAGTGGAAGTTGAGCACTGACAATAAGCTAAATTGAAACGATAAAGCGTGCAACGATGTAGACGATGGCAAACGAAAGTGACTAAAATTTTATGCGGGAAATAATGATGTCTGACATTTCGTCTCGAGAGAACAGATATACGAGAAAATACCCCGATTTAATTCGACTGATCGACTTTTAGGGAAAAATAATCCCACATCGAGGCAAGGATTTTGGAGCAATAATCGTCCCTTCTCTCACCACTGTAAGGCTCAATAATTCGCGATTCTAGGGGAATCATCCCGCCGAAGAACGATGGCAAACCCTTTATCGCATATGAACGAAATCGGGTCGTAGAAGAAAGGGTGGCATATCGCTCGGTAGATTATTAGGTAATTAACGAAGAAACGGGATCTGCTGCTACGCGACATTATTTGATCATGTCGCGTTGATAAACGACGAAGAAAAAAAACCGGATCGATGAATCGAACTCGACAGATCAATGACGATTGGGGACGAAGCGGAAGTGAATTAGCGAGGAACAAAAAGTATAAGATCCGCTTTTTCTACCAGACGGAAAGACGCCAGGATGTCCCACATCCGAGACATAACCGCAAGCGATCCGTCGGTCCCTCTCGTTCCCCTCGCGTGCAACCCTCGAGGAAAGGGGAGTATTTCGCACCCCGCCGTTCCGACCTGTCCCGCTTCCGATCCCGGCTCCCTGTGTTTCTCTTCCCTCGAATTCTTCACTCTCACATTATTCGCTGCTATTCGCTGTTATCTCGTTTCCCTCCCCTTTCTCGATGATGCGAGTTCGAAAACGCGTATCATTAACTCGCTAATAAAACCGCGATTGAACGCACGGGCGAATTTATTGCTGAATTGAGTCGGAATTTTTTGACGGCATTAAGTAGTCGATAAAAAGTCGCGACGACGTCTCACTCTGTCCGAAGGGGGAAACTTCAGACGACGAATAATTGTAAAATATTTATGAATTACGGATCTGAAAGCGTGTACGTACTTGGATAGCGTTTCGTCGTACTTATCTCTTTATATCCCCTGCCCCCTGCCCCTTTATGCATATCCGGTGATGCAAAATGCCACTTTCGATGCGAAGACTGAAAACTCGAACGAGCCTTCTGCCCTTTTCGTTTTGCGGAAATATAACGAATACGAAGAATGGATTCACGATTGGGCTGACTGCGTTTTCTTATAGCGAACATGCAGAATGATATCTTAAAGGTCGATTCTTTGACAAATTTTCAAAATAAAAGTAAACGTGATCGTTCGCGATGACTCTTCCGTTTCGCGTTACGCCAACCGTGATCTCTGCCAATGTTCTTTTACCTCGAACATTCTTTGTCTTCAACATAAAATTGTCTTTAAATTTATCAAAAGGCACGTTTCTAAAACCTCTCTCGGAGGCAAATGTATTACGATAAATCCGCATCACGACAAATTTCGCTCGCGCTCTCCCTCATCTCGATGACGATGCGATCATCGCGGAATAATCCGCGGATTACATCGCGTAAGTTACAGCCCGCGTATGAGCACAATTGCGAGCCGCCGGCCCCACGCCAGAAAGGGCGGAAACACCAATTTGTTATCGCGTACTTCCGTTCGCGTTACAGCGCGAACTTCCGCGAAACGATTAAATTCACTTAAGGGAGGAAATGTTGTTTTCGAAAATACGGAATACGGGGAAAAAAATTTATTTCCCTGGCGCTGCAAGAAGAATAAATCGCGACGAAAGACGGGCGTAATGGCCTCATAAATTACGCTGCAATGCGAAACAACATTGGCGCTGAGAGATACGCGTCGCGGGGGAGGAAAATGTAATACAACTTACTCGCGGGGCGCGAGAGCCACCCCCTCCCCCCCATGATGTGGGACGCGCCGGCGTAAAATCGTCCGCGTTAATATCGCGGGCAGATAAGCCTGAAAGCCGCACAAAATTGTGTCAATTTCCACATACACGACACTTTACTTTGTAAATCCACTCTTGCGCCCCCGCCATTAGCATGAACAAACAGTGGATAAGGTTCCCTCGAAAATAACGAGTATATTCGTTCGGCGTTCCGATCATCCCCCCCAAATTTTGGTAATTGATATCGGCAAAGAAACAATAAGAGGACGAATAAAAAAAGCATCGGACAGAAAAAAGGAAGAGCGAACACCCTGTACACACATCCATCCCCTGATATTGATAAGTCGGCATACCTCGGAGCAAGATGCTCCGATTAATAAAAAAATGGAGCCGTCGGTGAAAAAAAAAAAATTAACTTTTCCGTTCGCCTACGCCCGTGAATGAAAAATCGCAAATTGAATGACAGAGTATATTTTTGGCATATATCGTTGAAGCGGAGGGAACGCGGGACTTTTTAAAGCTACGTCGCGATAAAAGGAAAGCTCCAGTTGTTTGTAAATTTATTTTATTCTATTAGCAAAAAAAGCTTCGGGACAAAATGTTCACGTCTCTGCGGTGCGCAATTCGGAAAAATCAGAAATACGCAAATGCATCTCGTTTCATCTGTCTTAATATGTCATGTTTGATCATCCGCGGATTTAATTCGCCGTTTATTGCGACGCCGCTTATGATTGCCAAATATATGCATATTATTGTTTATGTATTTACATTCATTCGGGTTCGCGCATCATTCTATGTATTGCTGTTTACAGTGCATCTAATCAGGCTGCCTTTCGACGATACTTGATTAAATAATGGCTTAATGAACTCGCGTAGGACCGAATTTGTATCGAGCACTTTTTTGGATGACGCTCATTTTCAAAATTATCGCACTGCATTATTAATACGGTGCGGCGAGATGGAAAATGTAGTATCGTAAAT